ACTTTCTGTTGCTAACATCCTGAAGAAACAAATAGGCGTTGTCGTCTCTCTGCTCTGCTTCTTCCCATCTTCATTTACTCGTCAAAATTGATTTTGGTTTCATTTGAAACATCCATTCCTTCTGAGTTGTCTTCTTCTTCATCTTATTTTCTTTTTGCATGCTTTTTCAACAATCTGTTCTTCATTTTCTCTTTGATTTTTTACCCTTTCTCTCTCTCTCTCTCTCTTTGCTTCCCTCCCTCCCTCCCTCTCTCTTTTAGGCAAATCCTGGATGGAGGGAAACGGAAGAAATAAAAAAAAACATTAAAAGAAGATTGTGTTTATTGAAAGGCAAGAAGACAAAAAGGATATTTGTTTTTGTCTCATTTTTCCATCAAAACAATTTGAGATAAAATATTATTTTTTATTATATTTTAAGTAACACTCAGAGATTGGGTTAGTTGTCAAAGAGACAGAGAGAGGAAGAGAGAAAGAGAGAGCAAGAAAGAGAAATAGAAGACCAAGGGTTTTGTGCTTTCATCACTAACATGAAGAGGCAGGAATTTACAAGAGGTTTATTTTTTCGTCACAGAACTTTTTTTTTTCTTCATTTTCTATTTCTCTTCCGGTTTCATCTATTCATCAGACATGTCGTCAGTGCTTTGAACCATATTTAGACTTCTTTTCTCTTTTTTTTTCTTTTTTCAAATAAATAAACAGACATTCGAGTGATCTTCATCAATATGCTGCTTGTCCTTTATGAAATGCTTTTAATTAAAAAATATAATTCTTGTTGTTTTTCAACAAAATCACTTCAGAAGATGAACGAGACATTTCCTTTTCTAACTTTTCGCCGACGGCTTTCTTTGCTTTTTGACGTATGACGAAATGGCCGCTCATTCTTAAAACATTTTTTTGTCCTTTTTCGTTTTATTTCTCTTGTGATCTTCCATGATCCAACTGTTTGTTCTCTGTTTGTTTGGACGAAAACGAAAAGCCCAAAAGCTTCAACCTGCATCCAACCAGTCCATAGTAGAGATGGAGCTTTCATCTGTTTCGTAAACGTTCTGTTCAATCATTTTTACACTGAAAAATGACCATTTTCGGCTCTACAATACTCTTGTATTTCGTTTGTTTTACTTTCTCTCTCATCCTCTCCCTCTCTCTCTGTCTCAATCTTACCAATTGAATTTGCATTTTAATTTTATTTTTCGATTCTCATTCTCATAGCAATCATACAGACTGTTCGTGTACGAATCCAAAACTGTTCCATGTGTGCTTTTCACATGTGAAAATTAGAAATTGTTCTTTGATTTCTGAAAATGTTTCGATAACTTTTGTTTTCTTACTTTCGTTGTCTGTTTATCTTCAAATTGTCTGCTTGATTGGCATTACTTTCTTATTCTTTCTTCTCCATCTTCATTCGCTCGCTGCATTGTCACACTTGCTTTCGATGATTTGAGCTTCTTCTTAAATGATTCTTCTCTTCTATGTATAGTCGATAATCTATTCTATCGTCATCCTGTCATCATCATGGCCGTCGTCATCAGAAGCAGTCCGTAACTGAAAGGAAAACAAACAGATTCCCTTATTGGAATGTGCTGCTGACGACTCATCGTCAAGCGGCTTGTGCACGAAAATTGTTGACATTTCTGTCATTATACCTTTTCTTTCAATTCTTATTTTCATCTTGTCAATTTTTAGAATGAATTGTGAAAGATATTTTCGAAAGTTAGTCTCTTATGTCCATATTTTTGATATGACGTCCTATCTTGCCCCAACCTTATTTAGTTTATAATACTTAAAATAACAATTCTATATATCATTTGATGAATTTGACCTTTCTCTTTGTCCTCTTTCATTATTGTGTCAGTCTTCTTACTCTTTCAATCGTCTTATTTATTGAATCAAAAAAAAAAGAAAAAAAAGCGAACCTTCGTAACCTTGTCGACTACTCCCCATCAACAAATATCTAAATTTGCTTCAGTCGTGCTATTGCTAGAGCTTAAAGAAAATAATGTCTTAAGCTTGTGCTCACTTCGAAGAATAGTTTTTTTTTCCAAATACTTCAAGAGGTTGCAGTACTTGTCATGTTAAATCTTAATATTAAACTGAAAAGGAATGAAATGAATGGAGTTATAGCAAAATCGTTGCATGGCCTCATTACTCTCACTCCCTCTCTCTCTCTATCTATCCATCTCTCTCTCTCTCTCTTAGTCTGTTTAAGTTCTGATTGTACGTCATGTTATTCTCGAAAAGTAATAACGTCAATGCTATTAGCAGATTTTTGTCTTCCGAATATTATGTGTTCAAGTATTGTCTCTGACCACATCCTCATTTTCGTCGGCTTTTTCTTTTTCCTCACTCATCATCTTCCGTCTGAAAACAAAAAAAAGATTGTATAAGTGCCCGTACTTATTAACTGTCTACTTTTTTAAACATTCATCTAGACTCTTAGAGCGTGTTCAGCTTCATCTTCAAAGCCCCCCACCAACATACACACATACATACATACATCTCATACAATCCAGTCTGTATTGTTGTAGAAAAATCCATCACTTACATATCCGTCTCCTTTGTCATTCGCATGTTTATATTTCTTTTAATTGTTTATCTAAACTATTTATTTACTTAATTTATTACATTTTTATAATTTATATATATTTATTCACGTCATTTCACGCGTATGCCTTTATGCTAATGAGGCCAGCTAAAACGGTTCAACGAATTCATTTCATTCATTTCTTGTGTAGCAGAGCGGTTGCATTCATTTTTTCCTTCTTCACAGCCCTTCATTTTCCTCTTCACTCTCTCTCTTTCTATCTCTCTTCTTGTCTTTTTTCTCGTTTCTCTCTCTTTATAGTCTGCTTAAAGAAATGATTTTACGTTTATACTCAGATAAACGGAATCATATGAATATTCGTTATCAATACATTCCCTTTTCAATATTTTACGGTATTTTTATGTCATTTTCAGCTTCTCTTTTCAGAGCATTTTCCAAGACTTTCTCTTCATCACTTTTTCATCTTTTCTCTTTTTCTCCTTCTGTCTCTCTCTCATCCTATAGTCTTTTCAGCTTAGAAAGTGTAGTTATTTCCATCCTTTTTACACTTTCTTCCCTCCTCTCTCATGAATATATTTCAAACAATTTTCTTTGAGCGATTAGTTCAGAATATCTTCTAAATGTTATATACATCCTTCTCTTATTTAATATCTTCAATTTTAACTTTTTTTTTCATTTAATTTATGATCAACTGCTGCAGGATGAGAGCCTCGGGATTCCTCAGATATTCGAGCGGTCACTCTGTTCAAAATGATGTAGTGGAAAGTAGTGAGAATAGAAGAGAAAATAGGAGTGCAAGAGACTAAAGACAAAAAGTAAAGAAGAGAGAGGTTCACAGTTACGTGAGTAAATGAAGAGAGAGAGAGAGAAAAAGAGAGAGACAGAGATAGAGAGAGAGAGAGGGTGGGGGTTGTTTCGCTCAATGACCATCATCGTTTTCGGGGTCTTCCTGCGGGCCTGGGCGCACCCGATCGATCGATTCTCAATGTCACAAATGTTTGGCGCTCTTTGCTTCATTCCTCTTATTTTCATTCAAATTTGGTAATTTAGTATAATTTAAATCTCTTTTATATGTAAAAACTATTCAAATACATTATAGTTTACGAGTTATGGTAAAGAAAAAAGTCATTTGAAGTATATAAACCAGCCTTTGTATTCGTTGTTATTGATTACTTCGCCATCAGTTGTTCATTTTTTTTTGTCTCTGCTGAGTGTGAAACTTTAGATATTTATTGATTTATAAAGTAGAGGATTAGACTCTCTCTCTATCTATTCTTATTCCTTGACTCTCTCTCTCTCTCTATTTCTCTCTCTCTGTCTCTTTTTCTTCATCAATCGTCTTATATCTCATCTTACAAATTTATTTCTTAACTTCCCACATTCTTTCTTCACCATTTTGTGTTATTGTTTTAATTGTGTTGGAGATTTCCGTCTTATATCGTCCTTGTACTGCTGGGGCGTTGATGATGATGATGGTGTTGTCTGAGACACGTAGCTCTTCTCTATCTTCAACTGTTCCATTTTTGGTTTTATTAAATTTTTTGTGTCTTCGACCAATTTTTTCGTCATCGATTTACCTTTTTAAGGTGTTATCGGGTCGGAGACGAAGAAAGATACAGAAGTGAAGATGTATTTGTTAGATATTTTTCCTTTTTAGTTCCTTTGCCTTCTGATGAGATTTGTGTGCTTGTTTTTGAATATTTTGACTCAAATATTTTTGAATCCGACTAATAACACACCTATGTTTGGGAGTGAGAGGAAAGGAAGCAGAAGGGGGGTGTTGCGTTTCCTTTTTTGTGCTCTTCAACTACTTTCGTATCTCAGAATGTTTCTTTCATGTTTCTCTTTTCCTGTTTTCATGTTTCTCAATTGCTTTATGATTAATTGATTTTTACCTACTTTTTTCTGTTTCCAGCAGTGAGATGCTACTACTACCATGAAGTTATGAGCAAATACTGGGGTGATGAGCGGCATTCTGATGCCATTTATGCCGTTTATTTAAAGAAAGTTCGTTATGTGCCACCTCCAGGATACGATGGAGTTCCGGTTAGTTTTACTTTCGTCTTCATTTTTTTAAATTTTTTTTTGTGTTAAACTTCTATTAGTTCATTACCCCCCGGGGGTTTGGGTTGCAAGTAGAGAATGTTGTGTTTCAACCACAAGCATAATCTAGTCCCTCAAGTTTATAAGTCAAACTGGTTATTGAAGCTTCATTTTAAGCCTGTAATTTTTCTATTCTTGTGCTCCATCAAACACGTTGTGTCTGTGTGTGTTGGCTGATGTGTGTATGTGCGTGTATGGGTATGGGTACAACTTTTAAGGAAATACTTTCTCCTTATTGAAGGTTTAGATGTACACACAGCGTCTTTACTTTCATACCCCCCTTACTCCTACTTCGTGTCTCGCCTAGTTCTTCTCTCAATCGTTTCTCACCCATCACGTACTTTTCCTTAATTTCCGAATACCATATATGTAAGACTGACTAATCTCCTGTAATTTCCATGTTTTTTTTTCCATTTTCGTCCGATTCTTAATCATTTCTTATCTGCCAACCTCTCTCTTTGCGTTTGTTTGTAAAGTTTTTTTTTTGAAACATTTTATCTTTTGTTTTGTATAGGTTAAAGAACGGTTTTGTTGGTTTTGACAATCGATCAAACTTCATCCTTGCCATAATCGGTTATCCTTACTCAGGACGTCTCTGTTGATAACTTAAATCTCATTAATCGGCTAATTATTGTATCCTGTCTTGTCATTTGTTATTTGATGTGAGATGAAAGATGTTTCCAAGACATTAATCAATGATGAAGACGAGTTTTTTTGTGTTGGTTGGCTAAAAAAGGAGAAAAAAATTGTTCGAATAAGCTTTTCATGTGAGCTTTTACCTTCGTCTTAAATCCGAAAACAAAGAATACTTTTGACGGCACGGAAAAAAGCGATGGCCAAAACTTGTCTTCTTGTCTTGTTGGTCATTTATGCGAAAGATTTTCACACCATTACCCCCCCTCAGGCAGTTTCGTCATAAAACAATATTTGAAAGTAAAAAAAGCCATTCAGAGCGTCCAGTTTTTTTTATTAGTTAAAAGTAATCCTCTTCTCTCTAATTTTGTTCTCACTTTCATCAAAGCTCACCCAAACTGGACAGCATTTGTGAGGATCAAACTGCTGATCAAAACTATTTGGGGTAAATCTCATCGTAATCCTCGCTTTTTTTGTGATCTGCTGACCTATCACCTATCCATATTTGGAGAAAAAGAGAGAGATAGAGAGTGAGAGTGTGTTATTTCAATTTCAAAACAACACTCACAGACACACATACACATAATGGTCCTGAGAAAGGTAAAATTAACTCTTTTTTCTATTTCTATTTTTTCTTCCTCTTCTCTCACTCTCTTATCAGCAATTGAAAGGTCACATCTGATGATGGAGCACGTGGCTCTCCAACCTTTCGTTTACTTAAGCTTTTTTTGAAGCTTAAAACATGATATTTTGAAGTTTTGAATAACAATCCTGTTTTTCGTGTGATTTCGTTTGTGTTTTCATAATATTTATGGGGTTTCTTAACAATTTCATCTCAATATAGAATCTTCTGAAAGATGAGACTCCCCCCCATGTTCTGACTGTTGAACTCTTCGTGGCTTCTTGAGTGTCTCCTATTTGCTTCAAACGTCTTCATCATCAACTTCATTCATCATTCAGTAGTCTTCAAATGAGCTTCTATTATAAGCTTCTTTCTTTTTTTTATTTTTTCTTGACTAAAATTTTGCATTTTCAAATCCATTTTCTTATATGAATTTTCCTATGAATTTTTTGAAATTTTTTTCTTTCATCTATTCCTCCCAAAGCTTTTATGCTGTGAAACGTGCGCGCTCAAAGCCATTGTGAATGTCCTGTTTTGGGCGGAAACGATCAGTTTCCTGCTAAATCTAAGCGTCAAATCAAAGTTGATGCTGAAGCCTATTGGCTTTTAATGAAAAGTTTCATCCTTAATGTCTATTAAGTTCATATCAACGATATGAATTGAAAAGATGACAGAAAAGAGAAAGAAATAGCGATTGAAGTTTCGGAATTTTCTGTCATCACCCCACGGCCAGCATCAATTCCCCTGCTATCTAGCGACTTACGAAAGAGTTCAATTTATTGACGACAATACTGATATTTGGCTTTTCCAATCTTTGCCAACTTTCTTTCATTCGTCATCGTTCTATTCGTACTTTCTTGCCCCTTTTGGGTGTGTGGGCTTTTTGTTATCACACATATACACATAGACACATACACACATTACCTGTTATGGATATTTTCATGAGACACTCCTTAAATGATTAGCTCTCCTTCTCGGCGATCATCATCTTTATGTGCAACTTCTTCGTTCTCTGTTTGCTCCATGCGAAGACGGCGGCTCCTCTTTACATCCGCCATCATTTGTACAGAAACTGAGGACGATCACGACGAACATAACGAGGATGATGACGTTGATAATGACGACAAGAAGAGAAGAAAAGGGCGTCGTCACTCGAAGAGGCTTAGAAGTCGTCAGGCGAAGATTAGTTTTCTTCAGTTGAAGCATGTCTTCTCAGTTCTTTTTCCGCCTATTCAACCATATCTTTTCCCATCAGCTCTTCTACCTGAACTTTTGGTAATTATTTATGTTTTCCGGCAAATTTTTGTGATTAATGGCCAATGCAATTTCAGTTTTATTAATTTGGTTTATAATTCTTACATAAACGAAAATGAATGATATCAGATTTCAAATTTCAAATCAGAAATATCAATAAATGACTCATCACTCGACTTACATTTACTCATTTTGATTTTGATTACACAACTTCATTTCAGAGATATCGTCCAATCGATCCTGATCGCCAGCCTGTTGATCAGGACATGGGAGCTGATCATCTACAATGGGAATCGGTAAAGGAACGTGTAATCAAAGCTGGAACTGTGGAAAAGCTTGTGGTATGAGAAGAGTGTTCAAATGTTCCCTAATGTAAAATTAATTATAGGAATGTTTGGTGGGAGCTGATGATCTTATGGATTCTCGTCATTTCAATGTTTTCTTTGCCACCTATCGTTCATTTGCTGATCCACCAACTGTACTTAACAGGTAAACCTTGAAACAAACTGTTTCTATTTATATATGATACTGTTAAGGATCTTGAGAAGATATGAATCACTTGAAAATGATGTAAACTGTAGTACCTCGGCACTTGTTATTCAAAAGTACGTTTTCTCCATAAAACTTCTTTTTTTAGTGATCTTGTTTTTAGTTCTCTTCGATCAATTCTTATCTGTTGGTTGGACATGTATCCTGAAGATTTTTATGAACCACAGAGTGATTTCTCTTCTATAAACACTCTCTTGGAATTTGGAATGAGATATAAGTTATCAGATCTAAGAACAAAGGTAGGAGAGACTTAAGCTGTTCCGATGTTCCATCTATAACTATTCAGGCTCGAAAGCTTCGTGAGCATTTCAAACGCATCCAAGCAGTAGGAGGGTTGATAGGTTAGAGAACTTACAAGAGAGCTTATAAAGTTTTTTTCTATTCAGCACAATTGCCATCTGTTGAACAAAGAGCTTATGATCTAGGTTATGATTCGGCCGAGTACAGCAAAAACGCAAAGGATAGGTAAAATACAGTATGTTCTCCGATGACCTCATATGCCTTCTGTAGAGTGCGAATGTTCGATGTAGGAAAAGAAAACTGTGTCCAAATTGCTGAGCAATTAACCTTCTGGGATGCTGTGAGTCATTTTTTTATTTATGTTCTTCAATTGATGTTTCTTTTCTGCAGGCATTATTCAAAGAGGTTTTTATTCATCAATGCCAAGGCTGTGTTTGGTCTAAGAGGCATAAGCTTAGCGCAGATCGTGTATATACAGTAAAAGCTACTATTGAACAGGTGTGTTCATCTAGTTTATAACTATTATATACTATTACTCTTTGTAGTTTAATGCTGTTTCTCAACGTGTTATGACCAGTATTGTCCTTCCTGAATGCCGACCAGATTTCCGAGCACAAATAATAGCCAAGTGGATTGATATTTCACGGGTATGCTAATTTTTTTTCAAACACCAATGCCGCTTTGACGTGCGCCGTTCATTTTAATTTGAACAGCTCTTGAATCCGGTTGCGCTTTCTTCTGTCTCTCTCTATTTCGCTGTTCATAGTAAGTGCTTCAGGAATTACGGGCTTTGAAGAACTTTTCGTCTCTGAAAGCTGTTGTTTCAACTCTGCAATCAGAACCGGTTCATCGATTACGACAAACATGGGCTCTTGTACCGAGGTGAGAAACTTCCTGCATTCCTTCCTCATTCAAAAGTTGTTTTTGCAGTCAATCTATGGCACAGTTCAACGAACTAAAGTCTATTTATGATATGGATGAGGACGGAGATGAACATAATGCTAGGAGGATTTTAGAACAGGTTATTGGAGACCACATGAAGTTATAATACAAACTCATAATTCAGGAAGGAACAGCTAAGAGTTCGCCATTAAGACGGCCACAGTTAATTCAAAATTGTCGAAGAACAAAGAGCGATGTTAACCTAGCAGAATGCCAAGGAACAGTTCCTTATCTGGGCTCTTTTCTAACAGATTTAACAATGATTGATCAAGGAACATCTGATTATTCTGAAGGTTTTTCTTCATCTCTCTTATGAAAATTAATTCTTTTTTTAGAAGGCCTCATCAATTTTGAGAAGAGACGGAAGGAGTTTGATGTTCTAGCCAAGCTCAGGCTTTTCCAATCTGCCGCTCGAGCTTACAAAATACCCATGGATCCTGAGTTTTGCGCTTGGTTCCACTACCTTCCTTGTCTAGATGAAAAGCAATGGTAACATATCTATCTATTTACGAATATACATAGTTCTGCTGTTAAGCTTTTTGCGCTCTCAAGAAATTGAAAAGCCACCACCAAATTCTACTCCAGATATGCATTCTCGTATGAACACTAGTTCAACAAGTAATGGAAACAGCAGTGCTGTTCTTAAAAGGTTATTTATCGGCAACAACTCTGTTTAAACTTCTCCATTTGCAGCAGTACATTGTCACGACTTTTTGGTCGACAACCAGACGAAAGCGTGTTCAATCAATCTAGTACTAGCAATTCTAATTTTCATAGTCATTCACATAGCCAAAGCAGTTCTCATTCTGTACCCAATGGTTCAGGTTTGATCTTACTGCAAGAAACAGCATAACTCATTCCTTTAGCTACTCCTCCGCTGATGGGTCAATTATCGAGAGATAGTGGTTTTCATTGTGAAGATTGGATTGATGGTCGAGTTGATGGGGGACCCCCTGGACCGGTAAGGAAAACTTAAGCTTGAATCAATTTCATAATTCTATTGTTGTAGGTCCCACTCTCAGATTCTTTGCCAAGAAACAATGTGAACAATTGTAACCCAGCATGGAAAAGCTGCGAGTTTTCTCCTTCAAATGTCTTCCTTCTACCTCACCAACGAAGTAACAGTGGAGATTCTACTCAAGAGATTCGAACATCTCTTTCGCGGAGTAGTATAGGTGGCCAGGTAAAACTTATTTTTAATCTCTAATTACAAAGTTTGTTTAAAGAGTGCAAGTAATTCATTATCCCGTACAGCGACGCCAATTTTACACAGATTGAATGAAGTTTATGATTCAGCTCGACGGCGTCATCAGCAAAAAGACAGTGACGTAAGTTGCACGAACGATTCCGTTCTGAAAATAACTTTCTAGGCTTCGTCTTGCTCGTCTTCCTCGCATCAGTCGCAGGCCGGTCTAGCGGGTGCAGCCACAACTTTCCACTTAGCAAGAGTTGGGCTTGACGATGGGCTTCAGTCTTCGGAGAGTGGTGCGAATTATAAAGTGATCAAAGTAAATTTCTCTTTCATCATTGACTCATCATTATAAAAACTTGTCTTATAGGTAGAAAACGGTGATAGAATGCATGACTTAATCTCTCGAGCGTTGGAGAAGCACTTGATAGATGATGATCACAGCAAATATTGCTTATTACAGTTGCTTCCTAAAGGAGGTTCGTATTTGTTTCCATTCTCTTCTTGATACTGATCGTTCAGGAGAATTCCAACTGCCAGAAAAATGTAATCCCTTTTATGCAATAGCACCAGATGAGTCTTCGCATATGTTGAATCTGATATTGAGGTTTGTAAGGCGGACGTAGTGTTACTTAACTAATCATGTTATTTAGAAAAAAAGAGAATGAAGAGGAGAAGGGAGGTTCATCACCGCGCATGGGGCCATCAGCCAAAAAACTGAATAAGATGAAACGTAGTAACTTATTACGATGGAGTAGCGGATATTTATGAAAGGAGTTCTAATGTTATAGATTTATATTTCACTCAATCAGGTTTTGTCATATCAGTCAAGTTTTCTCGTCTCACAGCAGATATCTGCTCTCATTATTTGTTATTGTCTACTCTGTATCTAGATGGTTTCAAGAACTTTTTTAAAAACTTCTTCAAAAATTTTAGTTCTTTCATTAAAAGCTCTGATATTCTGTTTATCTCAAGAAACCAAAACTTACGGTTATAACATCTGTGCTACTTGATATTAACCAAATCTGTGTCTTATGCATGTCTTATTAGCTTCTTAAACAATTTATCATCTAGTTCGCGGTCATTATGGCCATTTGTCACATATAAGCTGCTGTGATACTTCTTTCCCTTATTAACATGTCTATTGTGGCCTTCCACTTGCCGTTTTTCAGCAAAAAAAATTGTCTTGCACAGATCATAAGCTTTAATAAGCAGAGTACATTTAATTATTGTTAATTCGAAGAAAAGCCTATATTCCTTACCTGTGATCCTCTCCCTACCCTCTCTCTCTCTCTCTCCCTCTCTCTCTATCTATCATTGTATATTCATACTATTCGATTCTTCTCCGTTCCAATCTGTATCTTTTCTTTCGGAATTGTACATTTCTCCCCTGAATTACTTGTTTTTAGAGGTGCTTTTACAAACATATTCCCCCCCCCCCTTACGCTCATAATGTTACTACTTATAGATTTTAAGAACGTTTTATTACTGTTAATAACACTGAGAATTTGTGATTATTAGTAGAAGCTATTTAAAGATATATTTCAAAATCTTGAACTGATTGACAGACAGACAGTACAAACATGAAAGCCGTCGAAACTCTCAATTGCCAATAAATCATAGGCCGAACCTGTGAGGGACAATAGTATCACGGGGTTCGAAAATCCGCCTAACAGTTTCGGGCAAGTATCAGAACTTTTCGAAAGATCTTCAATCCACCATAAAATGATGGAACACAATCCCATTGAAACAAAGAAAACAGCAGCAAATGGTTTGAAAGTTTGTTTTTAATTTTGAATGAAAAAGTTCTCAAACCCTGCCCTCTGCCCAACCTTTTCCGTTCTCCACTATTGTCTTTTCGATAGAAGTTTGAACCAAAAGTCTGGTGAACTCATGATGTATTAGTTATAGTTTCTGAAAAATGTTCAAATATGTTAAAAGTTTATTAGGAAAACATTAACAAGTTACGAGATTACATATT